GAAATCTTCCAGAAAAAAAATCATCAAATGAACAGATTATTTTATTAGTAGGGTAAACTTAGTACTTTTGAGAAAAGGTTAAAATAACAAATTATTTATAAGAGATTTTTCTAAAATTTCAAGAAAGCCACATATAATGTAGAGGAAAAGAAAATCTACTTGAACCCTGAGATCTCAGTATTGATTGGTAAGTCCTACAACACAAAGTGTATAAGCAAAAGGCTAAAAACTACGTCCTTCAATGTCAGGACTTACACATTTTACAGTTTGTTTTATTATTTCAATTCAACTCCATTTCTAGAGTGCTTCCTCTATGCCCAGGCTGCATTAAGAATCACTAATAAGGGGCTGGAGCAATAGCACAGCGGGTAGGGCGTTTGCCTTGCACGCAGCCAACATGGCCGACGCAGGTTCGATTCCCAGCATCCCATATGGTCCCCCCAGCATCGCCAGGAGTAATTCCTGAGTGCATGAGCCAGGAGTAACCCCTGAGCATTGCTGGGTGTGACCCAAAAAGAAAAAAATATCACTAATAAAAAGATGACAAAATTTTATCTCAAGAAGCACCTGGATGAATAAAATGTAGAGAGTGTTACTACTGTTGGGTCAAGGGAGAATAATGAGTTCATACAGGAGTTAATACATGAGAAGGGTTTTAATAGGTAGATAAGTTTAACCAAGGAGACATGAGAAGTGAATTCCAGGTTAAAAAAAAATAGAAAATGCAAAGATCATAGATGTTCAGTTACATGTTATGTCTAGAAAAATATAAATGTTCTGACTGGATTGTGTAAATTGCAAGGAAGGTAGTACTGAGAAGGGGGAGCATACATAAAAGTGGGTGAAATATCATGAAGAACATTGGGAGCAATATAATAGCATTTAATTTTATTCTCCAGTTCTTGAGGATCCACATTAATCAGGGAACAACACGGTTCTGCAGAGCTATGGGGTGCCTGGTGCTCAGAAAGGGTTAACAGGCAGCTGACCTAGCTTTTATTCTCTCGTGGCAATGGTACAAAGGCTGAAAAGGAAAGTGCTGGTTCCTCAAGGTTCTGCTTTTTCTCAAGGTCAGTGGGCAAGCTACTCAGTGTAATGTGGGGAAATGGACTGCTGAGGATTAAAGGACAAAAGAATTCCCCCTGCTGTTCTATGGACCTGAGGGCCAGTGAGAGGAGCAGAGGAAGTCAGAAGGGAAAGTTTAAAGTCAGAGTGGAGAGTAGCCTGGCTGATGAATGGAATGAGCCTCAGCACGGCCCAGCCAGGGATGTGGAGTGAGTCCTGAAATTCCCTGCAGAGCACATCACTGGCCCTTGCACTGGACCACTGGCCCTGTTGGCCAAGTACTTCCTGGAGTGGTTGTTGGGGGTGGATAATGGGCACTGGTGAAGGTATGGGTGTTTCATTGTATGACCTACACTTAAACCTGAAAGCTTTGTAACTGCTTTCACGGTGATTCAATAAATAAAATTATAAAAAATGAAAAAAACAAGTAAGGTAGAGTTCATGCACAATTCAATCAGCCTAATCAGTGGCTGAATAAATAGCAGTACTCCTACATTAAAAAAAAAAAAAGAAAAAACTGGCTTTTTAAATTTTTTCACTGTGACCCTTTTAGCTGAGAATTTTTTATACCACCCCAGGTATCTGAGTATATAAAACTAGGTCTACAAACCAAACATTAACCAATAATAAAACATAAAAAAATTTTTTTAAAACGGTTTTTAAGTTGTGGACCCCTCCCCCCACTTCAGTGGCCCACAGTTTAAGAAGCTATCAAGATCTCTATGGGATTTGTGAACCTTAACCCCCAAGAAAATCACTTTAACCTAGTTCATGTAAGGCTGGGAGTGAATCGAAGAAGAATTGATAATCTGAGACAAAAATCTAGGAAACACAGGAATGCAAAAACAGTTTAGGAGGCAGTGAGGGAATGGATGCAAAGAGTGGGGATTCCAGAGAGAGTGGGGGACTTGAGCCCATGCTTTTTAGAAGTGATCGAGGGCTATAAGGTGTTTCAAGTATGGTACTGAAGTAGAGTGGAGGAAAATTAAGAGTTTGAAAATCGAGTTTCTTTATATCAATAAAATAACAAAGTTATCAGTGAAGTGTGACAAGGATATGAGGGAGACAGTTGGTGGCACAGCTTCGGGGAAAAAAAAAGAATTTTTGTATAAATATGACAAGTAGTTGTCTGGAGTATAAGAGGATTACCACACCCTCCCCAATCCAGACTTGGGGAGAGGGCAGTTTCTCACAGTGAGCTAAGAGAGCGTGTGGGACCCTGGGGAGAACCGAGCCTGTGGTACAGAGTTCATTTTTGAAATGGATGGGCAACTGTGGAGAAAAGAATGGAAAAGTTTAAATGACAGATCAGCAAGCAAGGAAACATAACAGGAATGAGAAAACAGGACTGAACTAATCAGGTCTACAAATGATGGGGTGACAGGAGGTGACAGGTGAGACGTGGCCAGAAGCCCAACCCACCTGAGCAGGGCTTGATCAGTTTCTGGGGGTTTCAGCACATAGGCAAACTAATGATTTCAGACACTATCCGTTATTTCCTCAAAAATCTTACTGAAATGACTTTGATAACGTTTAAGAATCGTCTCCTTAGAGGACGTGTTTATCTGTCAAAGCCACATTTTAATCTGGAGGGGGAAAAAAGTTCACTGGAGTAGAGCTGAAAACCTTATTAATATAGTTCTTTAAGCCCTGAAGTGGTTCTTAAGAATGTTTGTTAGGATTTTAGGAATTCACTTAATTTAGTTTACCAACCCTACTGTACTATGCTTATACCATAAACATAATTCTTGCAGGGCTGGAGAAATAGTACAGTGGGTAAGGTACTTACAATGCCTTACAATGGCCAACCCAGGTTCAATCCCTGGCACTGCATATGATCCCCAAATTCCTGCCAGAAGTGATCTCTGAGCACCACTGGGTGTGTGCCCCCTGCCCCTACATACTTGCTTCTCCTGATAAAGCAATCGCAATATAATAACAGACACTGTAGTACTGTAGCACTGTCCTCCCATTGTTCATTGATTTGATCGAGTGGGCACCAGTAACGTCTCTATTGAGAGACTGTTGTTACTGTTTTTGACATATTGAATACGTCACAGGGAGCTTGCCAGGCTCTGCCGTGTGGGCGTGATACTCTCAGTAGCTTGCTGGGCTCTCCGAGAGGGGCAGGCAAAGGAATCGAACCCTGGCCAACTGGGTAGGCCGAGTGCAAGGCAAATGACCTATCTGCTGTGCTATCGCTCCAGTTCTATAACAAACACAAAAAGTGAATTTTTATATTATTTTTAATACTAAACCTCAAAGCTATTTCCTCCAATAGCTTTCAATTGGATCCTCTATCTTCTGGTTCTTATACATTTATAATTATTCTTTAAATAACACAAGTTCACCCTTCCACACTGTTTAATTTCCTTTTGGATGCAATTCTATAAAACCTTTTTAAAAACCTAAACTTAATTTTTCAGTATCTCATCAGAAAAGGATGGACTACAAAGAGTATCCTGGCTGGAGCAGAAAAGAAATGCTTACAGCACTTAGAGCAGTCCCTGTGACGTATTCATGCATGAAAAAGGCTTCATTTAAGGATTATTTATTAGTGATCTGGCTTTGTTACTTACTACCAAAGCTGTTAGTTTTACATTTATGTTAAAGGTATTTTTCTTCTTCTGTACATATCTCACTTATGTCCCTCCCTGCACTATAAGCTATTTTTAGTTTTAAACTAGTTACAGGGGTCAGAGGGCTTGTACAGCAGTTAAGCTTCTAGGCAGCTGACCCGGGTTTGATTCATGGCACCGGATATGGTCCCACAAGCATTACAAGGAGCACAAAGCCAGAAGTAAGCCCTGAACAAGGGGATGTGGCCTCCAAAAAACAGTAACAACTAAAACGAACTTAAACTAGGTTACAGAAACTCTATGATTTTGTCATAAATAAATGTGACACCCACTAATTAGCATGTACTGGACTCTTACTATATACTAGACACTGCTGCTTTATATAGGTTTCATGAATTTTCACAACTTCACAACTATTGTGCAACAGAAAATATGGCAATATATACTGCAAGTAAATTACAATGATTGTCCTTGGATCTTCATATAATATTTAAAATTCCGAGATGATAAATAATAAATCACTGTCACTGTCCTCCCATTGTTCACCAATTTGCTCGAGTGGGCCCAGTAACGTCTCCATTGGAGACTTTGTTGTTATTGTGTTTGCCATATCGAATACCTCACGGGTAGCTTGCCAGGCTCTGCCGTGCGGGCGAGATACTCTTGGTAGCTTGCCGGGCTCTCCGGGAGGGGCGGAGGAATTGAACTCGGGTCGGCCATGTTGTCTGCGTGCAAGGCAAACACCCTACCACTGTGCTATCGCTCCAACCCCAAATAATAAATGAATTCGAAAAACCACTTTAATTATCTGAATTTTAATTCCAACCTTTTCTATAAAATGTTTAGTCAAATCTACTATAACATAGTTAAAGTATCAGATGCTTTAAGACAGAAGAGTACCAGGAAGAGGGTGAAAAGAAACTGTTGTGGAAAACTAATCCAACTACTTAACAACATTTCCTATCTGTAGGGAAGCTTTATGAAAAGTCTTGTTTTATCATACAAATTCACCCGCTGCATTTTATTTTTATTTATTTTTGGTTTGGAGGCCATATCCAATGATGCTCAGGGGTTACTCCTAGCCAGACACTAAGGAATTACTCCTGGTGGTGCTGGGGAACCATATGTGGTGCCATGGACTGAACCCAGGATGGCAGCGTGCAAGGCAAGTGTCCTAACCACTGTGCCATCTCTCCAGCCCTTACCAAATTGCATTTTAAAGAATTGAATGAATTTATCTAAGTTGCTTCTTTCCCAAACGGTTTCCAGAACTCATAAGAATGGAAAATATTTCCAATGTAATGGGAAAATTGACAACAGGTTCATCTTTCATGATGCCAAAAACGTGATGCTTACCTCCTTTGCACTTTTTATTTTAGTCAGAAATGTATGCAGCTCCATGGTTTCTGCAAACAGTGCACGACATACTGCCTGATAATGATTTGGTGCCTCGGATTCAGTTGAGAGATGAGCAGCACACAACTACAGAAAAAGAAAATAATGGTGCTTACTTACCATTTGGATGTTACAGTGACTTATAAACAGACAGACCGTATTTCTGTATCAGATAAAAAGGCAACTTCTATACCTAAAACTTAATGCATCATAATACCAGCAAAGTCTATACAATTATGTGGAAACTGATCCAAAGACAGATACCAGACAGATACCTAGCTTACTAGGACTAGTCAGCTTCTATTTGAAGGATAAAATATACTTTAAAGTTCTAGTTTGACATATTGTACACAGTATAACATCAATTACTCTTCAATATAACTGTGAATTATCTTTTTTATAGAAAGGAAACTGAAACTCTAAGAATTCAAGTGATTTGACATAGAGTTGACAAAAAAAGAATAAAAATCAAACATAGCCCTGTGGAATTCTGAAGCCAGGGCTAATTCAATATGTGCAAATGCTGAATTATATCATGTTAAAAAAAAGAACACTAGCAGGACATATGAATCACTGAGAAGATACTTCATCAGTACAAGGAATGAAAAAAAGACAATAGAGAACAAAATACACCCACTAATTATACTTTCCCTCATAAGATACATACATCTTATTGTATGGATTCCATAATTCTTACAAGCCATTTGTAAGTAAAAGATGTAATACTATATGCGATAATTTAGAAAATCCAATACTACTACAAGTCTAACAAAAAGAATAATTTCATCTTTCTACAAAATAACAATTTTGTATCCATGCACAAAAGTTATGTTTTAGATACTCCATTTGCACAAAAACTGTAAGTTCTCCATTTTTAGTACATGCTACAAACTTACTTTTTGTATTTAATTACTGAAAATTTTATATAAAATATAAAATATTTTAAAATATAAAATATATTTTATATTTTATTTATTTATTTTTAGATTTTTATTAGTGAAACACCATGAGGTAGAGTTGTAGACTTACAAATTTTTGTGCTTGGGTTTCAGTTATACAATGATTGAATATCCATCCCTCCACCAGTGCCCACTCTCCACCACCAGTGATCCCAGAATCCCTCCCCCCACCCCATTCCACCCTGCCTCTGTGACAGGGCACTCCCCTTTGTTCTCTCTCTCCTTTTGGGTGCTGTGGTTTGCAAAAGAGGCATCGAGTGGCAATCAAGTTCAGTCTAAAGTCTACTCTCAGCATGCATCTCCCATCCTGGGAGAATCCTCCCAACACCCTTTATTTGGTCCTCCCTTCTTTATCTGAGCTGCCTTTTCCCCTAGCATGTATGACTGGCCTCCAAGCCATGGAGTAAACCTCCTGGCACTTATCTCTGCTATGAAAATGTACATTTTATTTTGATAATTTCTGGGGCCTAGAAGATGACTCCATAGCTAAAAGCACTTGTTTGGCAAGCATGAAACCAAGAATTCAAACCCCAGGGCCCCCGTATGTTCTGAAGAAAAAGTATATAGCACTGCTGTTTGGGATCTTCAGCAAGAAAGGGTCCAAGATGGTGCAGTGGCTTGGAAGGGTAAGCATGAGGATGTGAGTTTAATTCCTGGTAAAGCCTCATTCATTCAGGGCAAACGTCCTACCCATTGTGCTACTGCTCCAGCTCCCAAGCCTCATTCATTCAGAAAACTTCTACACAGTACCCAATACAAGCAAGATCTGTGTTATCTGGAAGCATGAAAAGTAAAAACTGCACAGGGCTATCAACGCACAAAGAACAGAGTTTTTCATCATGGCCTCTCAGTATCTGTATTACAAACCAATGCCCAAAACTAGAGAGAGAGTAAGAAGAAAATTGTCTGCCATAGAAGCAGGGGGTGGGGTTGGGTGGGGGTGGCAGGAGGGATACGGGAGACATTGGTGGTGGAAAATGCGCACTGGTGGAGGGATTGTTGTTCAATCATTATATGACTACAATTCAATCGTGAAAGTTTTTTAACTGTATCTCATGGTGATTCAATTAAAAATTTTTTAATTAAAAAAAACAAAAAAAATAGTTCATCATCAGTTTTTTTATTTAAAAATGTTTCCAATACATCGATCATTCATCCATCATGACTGAAACGCAAGCACTAAAGTTTGTAAGTCTGTAACTATCTCACGGTGATTCACTAATAAAAAATTTTAAAAAAATGTTTCCAATACATAATTATCACATCTACAAATAAAATACAACTTCTACAACTTCTACCTCTAACAAATTTCATATTTTTATATTCCAATATAATGTGAACATGGCACAACCAATGATTTTCAAATTTGTCGCTAATTCAGGGTATGAAATACATTTTCTATGAGAATGCAAATTTATCGATGTATATATTTTATAGACAAGTATCATAAAATCTAAGCATCTGATGCCACAACCCACTCATAGGTTGTCTTTCACTATCCAACAGACAGGTGGTGGCAGAATATGAATTTGCTTGGGCCCAGAAGACAATAATTTCCCCATTACATTTTGGGCAAGCCATAAAATCTTGGGGGAGCTTATGGGTAACCTCCAGCTTTATGCTCAGGAGTTGTTCCTGGAGGTGCTGGCAGATGACAAGCACCGCCAGAGGCCTAAGTGGGGTTGGCTGCATGCAAGCTGAGAGCTGTAAAATTCAGTAAAGCATGAATTCAGTAACATTCTAATCTCTGACTAAACTTCCATTCCCAAACAGAACATGCTGTATCTGAAAAAAAAAAAAAACCAAACAAACAAACAAAAAAACAACCTTAAGAGACCCCTGGAAAACTGGACACAATCTGAGATTTAATGACCTTAAGGATGTGAGCATTAATATTATATTTTGCATACTGAAGATTACTAGGAGGCAAGTTGGCATTCCTACATCCAGCTTTTAACACTGGTGAAACTGGTGAATGGAGAAATAACTTGAAAAACGAGTGCATGACAAATAAAAGACTTCTTACAGAGTATTTTTTTTCTTTCCTTCTGAATTTCAGTTCACCTTATAAATTCCCTCAATAGGCTATTCAAGAAACATTTATTGAACAACTACTGCCATGAGCCAGATTCTATGAAAATGTTGATTCACTGAGGAATTTTATAGCTCTCTGAAGCCCATAGTAGGCCCTGAGCCCTGATGGGTATGGCCCTAAAAACAAAGAGAAAAAATACCATAAAGTGTCCAATAATATCACAGCAATACTGCTAATACAATAAAAACTAAGAGCAAAGATATTACAATGGTTAAAACATATTAATTCTACAAAAATGTTTATATATAATATGTCAAAATATACATTACAGAACAATCTGACTCCCACCCCTTCTCACCCTTTTAAAGTGAGGGGGGTGGGAGGGATACTGGGATTAGTGGTGGTGGAGAATGGGCACTGGTGGAGGGATGGGTACTCTATCATTGTATAACTGAAACCCAAGCACAAAAATTTGTAAGTCTACAACTGTATCTCATGGTGTTTCACTAATAAAAAAAAATAAAATAAAGTGAATCTGTTTGTATAGCCAGAGGCTAAAAAACTTTGGTGGTTATTTCCATGTCAATGAATTGCTTGTTTTTTGTTCTTACAGGCATGACCTCATCTAACTAATCCTTTTATAACAACCCAATTAGGAAGTTAAATTTTAGAAAGGGTAGTCAGTAGACCTGGAATTGAACCCAAGGCACTTCAACTCTAGAACTCTTGTTTTCCTGTATTCTAATGAATGTGTATTATGTTTATATTAAAGGAAAAAGCTTAAATCACATAAGTGCAGTGTGTGGTATCCAGTAAGCATGAAGTGTCAACTTTTACAGTCACTAAAAATTCAAACAAACAAATCTATTGGATAAGAAGGGGAACATACTTAGGAGGCCCTGATCCATATCTGTCAACACGAATTTATAGGACGTTAGACAATTTAACATTGTCAGTTTATATTTGAACAACTGAGGGCTAAGTTATGTAATCTCTTAACCTGCCTTCTCTTATTCTATGAACAGAATTTTAGTTAAACCAAAATATTGGTGCTTTCGGGGGTTCAATCTGGTATCATTGGGCTGTTCAATTCACTTTGCCTCCCCTTGTCTAAAAGCTGCTGAACAATGGGTGACTCCTTTAGTCCCACTCTCCGTCATGCAATTTTGTCAGAAAATATCTGGTTCACCTTTATTCTTTTTCTTAAAATTTTAAATTGCAGTATCATAGTTTATAATACTACGGAAGTCATTTTACAATTGCACAGCTTCTATACCAATCCTCCCCCCAGTGTTTAAAGATTCTCCCACTACTACCGAGGAACGTGGCTGCATTGGTATTGTCTAATTCCCTTATTTGTTTCTGCATGTATTTCTTTGTTTCTCTCTTTTATAGTCTGCATATAAGAGTGCACATCTGGCATTTATCATTTTCCTTCTGACTCAACATAATATTCTCCAATTCCATCCAAGTTGTACAAAATTGCAATCATACCTTCACAGGTTGGGCATTTGAGTAATTTCTAGGCCTTATTGTTAATAGTGCTGTGACAAATTTCTGTTTTACCTTTTTTCTGCTAGGTATTTCACTATAGAATTCTAGTTTCTTCGAACTTTGAAGTTACTTTCCATTTTTTACTGCTTCTGTTACAAAGTCAGTTACAGTCTAAATAAATGGCTTTCAATATTTTTACTCCCACAGACCAGTGCTGGTCTTTGGGCTGGCAGTTGAAAACCACTGGTCTGATTCTCCTGAAAATAATGAAATCGATTAACCTCTGATTTTATACTTTGTTTGAGGTGCTTATCAGTTTATAATAAAATTATATTCTTTCATATTATCTATTTTCCTCTTGGTTTTCTGGGCTTCATAAATCTATGACATGGTATTTCTCAAATTTAAAAAATTTTTTATATGTCTTGAAACCTTTCTTCCACCCTCTCTTTCTTCTTCTTTTAGGATTTCAATGACATGTACTGTCTCTGCCCATTTCATCTATTTAAAACTGTGTTTTAAAATACAAAGAGTGGAGACTTGTTCTGGGGAAATAAGAGCTAAGAGAGTGCCACTCACCTTCATGACGTCTCTGTATGACCGGATGGCTGAGACCTTTCTCTTCTCCTCTTCCTCCTCCAAGCCTTCATCGGCAGCCTCGTAGCCCTCGTCGTTACTGCCGTCAGCTTCCACCGTGTTGGCCATACGGTCGATGAGCTGCTCCAGTGGGGGGCTCAGTTCCCTTTCTTCATTCTCCTTCAAGCCATAGTCCAGTGCCTTATAAATAATGATTCCCAAAGATTCAATAACCTATGAATATTAAAGACGGTGGTTAGTCAAGAGGATGAAACAGATTTATAGAACTAGCTGTAAGGAATAAAATTTTTAGTGTGAGGTTTAAGCAACTAGTATCTTTTAGTATAGACCATATAACAAATTAGAATTTTTAAAGAAGATTCTCACCTATGCATTTTTTGGAAAAAAATTACAAATGAAAATTTTTGTGATTTCTTTAAATCATTATATAAACACAAACATGTTTCTTTTTAAACTTCTTTTTTCCCTTTTTACATTTTTAGATATATATGTACACTAAAAAAAAAGCTATGTACTTCATTCATGTAAGATACTAATTTGATTTTCCACATTCTCAAAATGTATTTTTGAGATGTGGCTATCAAAGAACATATAGTTTCGGAACTCTTGTACTCAATTTTTATGTAACTAGAAATTTAAATTTTTTGTTTGCTTTTTGTTTTGGGGCCATACCTGGCAATGCTTAGGGGTTATTTCTGGGTCTGCACTCAGGGATCACTCCTGGAGGTGCTTGGGAATTGAACCCGGGTCAGCTGTATGCAAGGAAGCACCTTACCCACTATACTATTGTTCCAGCCCCTAAAACCAGAAATTTAATAGGCTTACCAAGGATCTGTGAAAATTACAGTTATTGTTAGCAACTAATAAGCACAAAACAACACAAGTCATAACCATATTACACAGCGTTCCAAATAATAATTGGCTCAGGTGATGTTCAGGGAACAATATAGTACCTGGGATCACACCTGGGTCTCCTGCTGCCCTATGCTTAAAGCACATAGCCCAGGATTGATTCCCAGCACCACATGGTTGCTTGAGGATCACTAGGTCCCCCCTAAGGTCCCCTAGCAGCAACTGGGTGTGGTTCTGGAGGCACTGCTGTATCCCTGGCATGGCAGGGCCAAATATCTTTAGGCCCTTGTATGAATCAATGGCTTGGCTGGTACCATTCAGGAGTACCCCCGACCCATGGGGAGAGAAAACCTGGACCATTTGCATTCAAAGCTTGAGTTTAAGCTATTGAGCTTTTTTTTTTTTTTAAATACACTGAACCTACAATGTAGCACAAAGATAATTCCACTGAATAACCTACATCCACCACTATTACAAGCCAGGAAATAACTACATGAATATACACTGCTGATTTATGGAAACTGGGCATGTATTGCTATCTAATATCACCCTGAGAAATGCTTTGGCCAAATATAAAATTATACTCTATTCCTCAATACTGACAGAAAAATGACATATTTGATTTCATTTTAAAATGTCAACAGCTCACCCCACCTCGGGTTATTTTAGAGAGAGGAACAGAGACAATAAGTCAAAAATTTACCAATCAGCCCACAATGTACTGTTTAATTTTTTTTCTTTTCTGTAAAGTGGGTATTAATGATGTCTACACCTCACAGAATTTTGTTAGGATTTAACTGCACTGATTACACACAGAAATGCCTAGTACAATAACCAACTTATAATTATGCCTTTTTTTTTTTTTTTGGATTTTGGGGTCATACCCAGTGATGTTCAGACATTACTCCTGGCTCTGTACTCAGGAATTACTCCTGGAAGTGCATAAGGGGCCATATGGGATGTGGGGGGATCGAACTCAGGTCGGCCACATTTAAGGCAAACACTATACCTGCTATACTATTGCTCCAGCCTCCTAACTTACAATTAGGTACTGGATGTTTGTTGCCTTGTCTCTCCTAACTCTTCCAATGCTGGTCCAGTTGTACCCAATCGCTGTTTCTTTATTCCACTTCTAGCCATAGTCAGTGCTGTGTCCTTTGTTAAAGTGGTTTATATAGAGCCGGAGAGAGAGTAGAGGGGGTAAGATGCTTGCCTTCCGTGAAGTCAACCAGGAGTTGATCCTCAGCCTTGAGGATCACACAACCAGTACAACAGCACAACCAGTAGTGCTTTCTGAGTGCATCAGAAGTAAGCCCTAGGGTGCCCTCCACCACCCCTCCCCCCAAAAGTTTAATATGATAGGAAGGAAAAAGCCTTGCAGTTTGGGGACTGGAGCCATAGCACAGTGGGTAGGGTGTTTGCCTTGCACGTGGCCAACCTGGGTTCAATTCCCAGCATCCTCCCCTGAGCAACACCAGTAGTTTCTGAGTCAATGAGCCAGGAGTAACCCCTGTGCATCACCAGGTGTGACCCAAAGAAGAGAAAAAAAAAAACCTTGCAGTTCTGAAGTTGTTCTAAACACAATAGAATTGTTGTCATCATATACACTAAACTCTAAGGCATTAAAGCTCTGTAGCACTGTCCTCCCGTTGTTCATCGATTTGCTCGAGCAGGCCCAGTAACATTGTGAGACTTGTTGTTACTGTGTTTGGCATATTGAATATGTCACAGGGAACTTGCCAGGCTTTGCCGTGCAGGGGGGATACTCTCGGTAGCTTGCCGGGCTCTCCAAGTGGGGCAGAGGAATCGAACTCAGGGCCACATGCAAGGTAAACGCCCTACCCTCTGTGCTATCTACCTTATCAAGGAAAGAAGTATTTTTCTGAAAACAAATTTCAAAATGAACATAAGGCTGAAAAGTTCTCAATTTCCAGTTTTAAAATACCCCTTTATAAAAAACTATTTCTCACTGAAAATATATTTTCATTCAAATGGTCAGACCTATAGACAAAGCTGTTTTGTATCACAACTGATCTTCTGAGTTTCAAGTCACTGTCACTTCCCCATCCTGCCACCATCCTTTTTGGGGGAGGGTGCCTATCCTTAGTTTCTCCACACACACAGAACACACAGGTGTTATAGCACTTAATTCTTACCACAGGAAGGGATTGTGTTACTTACAACAAGGTTCTGAGCTTTCTTTTCTTTTCTTTTGGCCATATCTGGTCATGCTCAGGACTTATTCCTGGCTCTCACTCAGGAATCACTCCTGGCAGAGCTCGAGGGACCATATGGGATGCTGGGAATCAGATGTGCACATGCAAGGCAAGTGCCCTACTCACGGTACTATCGCTCCAGCCCCAGATCTAAGCTTACATTTCAGTTTTTACCCATTATAAAAGCTACACACACACACACACAAACACACAAATACACACACACATACGTATACACACATGTATTTTGAAGCTTTCGTAACTTGTATTTCTAGTCAAGAAGAATCTGTTGCCTACCCTTCCTGTTTCCATTTCCATCCATTTTATACATGATACCAAATTAATCTTTCTGAAGCAGTTTCAAACTACTTAACATAGCAGTGGCCTACCTTTATTAGGCACAATTTTTATCTTTCTATATTTAAAAACCTTTCAAAACGTCTAAAGTCCAGACTCTCCAAGAACCAACAGGATATGTATAATTTACACAGAAAGAGACTGTTCTAAGGAATTGGCTTACATAATTAGGGATACTGAAAGGTCTCGTGTCTGCAGGCTGAGTCAGCAGATTGGATACCTAAGAAAGTTGGTGGCATGGTTCCACATTGAAGGCCACAGGCTCAAGCCCAAGGGAGAGGGAATATTTAATCTGACTCCAAAAGAGGGATAAAGGCCAATGTTCAAAGGCCATCTGGAAAAACAGTGCCCAACTGACTGGTTGGCTTGAATGCTTTATTCAGGTTCTCAATGGATAAGGGATACACTATCACAGTGATCTGTTTTGCTCAGTCTATCAAATTAAACATTGATCTTGTCCAAAAATGCTTTTATCAAAATACCCAGAATAATATCTGATCAAATAACCGACAGTTCAAGGCTCAGTTAAGCTGATACACAAATAAGCCCTTGTCAACTTGGTACTCTTCATATCTTCTTTTTATGTATTTATTTTGATTTTTTTGAGCCACCTGGCAATGCTCAGGGGTTATTCCTAGCTCTATACTCAGGAATTACTACTGGTGGGTTCAGGGGACTATATGAGATTCTGGGGATCAAAACCAAGTTGGCCACATGTAAAGCAAGTGCCTATTGTACTCTCTCTCTAGCCCCTCATACAGATCTTCTTAAAGCTTAGACCCTAAGAAACACATTCTAGGGTCCCAATTCCACATAGAGAATAGTTATCCTGTCCTTCTTGTGTTTTTCTTTGGGTCACACCCAGTTGTGCTCAGGGCTCACTTCTGGTTCTACACTCAAAGGATCTTAAGGGGCTCCAGGGGTTAAACCTGGGTCTACTGTGTACAAGAGCCTTACCTTGTACTATCACTAAATCCCAGTTAGATTGCATTTAATCAAAAAATATAATCCTTCCCCCCAAATGGGTCAAAATAATTGAGGCTATTTAATCTCCTTTGATATCTCATGACCCTGATGTGAAATTAATAATACTTAAATAATATTCTATAAGGTCAATACATCATGAGGAATACACACATTCAACATTCAAAATAAAAAAGGGAGAAAATCCTTATGATAATTCCCTCTTTAAAAAAAAACTGGTCATGTGATTTTATCCGGTATTTATACTACTTTCCAATACCCTTACCTTTCTATATTTCCTTTACCTTGAATAAGCCCCTTAGCCGATCATGGTTTCTTCCTAAAGGGTGACCCAAACCTTCATTCCCAAAGGGTCTGGGCCATTTAGCAGAAAATAACACTGGACCTGAACTGTAATTATCCATTGACATTTACCTCAGAATGCATTATACCAAGAAATACCATATGTGAGCTTCTGTATTCCTAATAAATATTTCCTTAGCTCCATTGTAGAAGTTTCCCTTTGGTAGTCAGAGGGATCACCCCAGGAACAGCAATTCCCTTCTTTGCCTATTGATTCACAGGCAAGAGGAACCCAAAGCAGTCATCATCAGTCTTAACTTCCAATTCAAAGGAACCACTGTTTTGTCTTTGAGTGGACGCTCTCTCCCCTTTACAATGAAGAAGTCTAGGCAAGCAGTGTGCAAACAGTAAGCAAATATGTACAGGGGCCCATGTCTTGAGCCACTGGGCTCACTCTCCTGTTCTCAATCATTTATTGCTTAGGAATTCTATAGTCTACAATAATCCATCT